CCAAATAAACCCCCCCCCCCCCCCCCCCCCCCCGAAAGAGCCTGGCACAGCCCCCAGATGATAGCATCACTATCCCTCTGAAATGCCGGATCTGAAACCAAAATGAAACATAGTCGTTTTGTACAGCCCTAATATCTATCTCTTATCTGAATTTTTAGGTGTGTGGTTGATCATCAATCAACTACTTGCCTGGAAATTTCTGTTTTCCAGCTAAATAACAAGACTTTAAAAGATAGTTTATGTTGTTAGGTCCCAGCTTAGCAGATCACTTAATCGTGTCCCCAGATTTAAACATACTGATGTGCTTTGCTGAATCAAAGTACAATCCTGAGCAGTATCTGGACAAACCAAAGAGATCAGTGATACTCTGTTCATTTCTGAGCTTTCACTGTATCTTCAATATCTGACATAAGCAGAAAAAAAAATTCAGAGCAGCTTGAGAGTCGGCATGAAATGAGAGATGCAATATTTCAAGCTGTTCAGAAGTACAGTTATCACCAAGGCAAAAAGAGTCTATTGAAGCTGTAGACATTCATGTTGTATAAGACTTCTCATGTAGTTTCACTAAAAATTAAGAGCTGGAGGAAGAAGGGAATACTGTTTCTACAATATATTAATGTAGAACTGAAAAGCCCAATATTTCAGGGTTTATTTTTGGCATTTATTCCTGATGTTTTGTTAATAACTTTTTTTCAGAAGCAACTCTCTATATTGTTGTCCATTCTTACATTGACTACCATAAAGTGATGAGAGTAAGAGCCAGATTAAAAAAACTTTAAATAAATTTACTTCTAAGTCTGAGGAAATGTATGCCAGTAAATGTCTATGACATCTATGAAATACTGGTTTAACCCCAAACTCTGCATACAGCCAGTGCTATAGTGTAAAAAAAAACAAAAAAAACAAAAAAAAAAAACCCAAACAAAAATAAGTTAACAATTTTTTTTCTTTTTTAGAAATTATTAACAAAACAAGTTTTAAAAAAATCAAGTTTATTCATCAACAGTCTGTTGGCATAATTCAGAAATGTTAACAGGATATCCTTCTATAATAAGCCAAGAAGTATATGTAACTTCTATGAATTGGAAGCAATTTGGTATTTGTTTGCATTGTACCTGGAAAGCTAAGGATGTGTTCTTTGTCATTTGAGATTAAGAATGCATTTTAGCAATTACTTCTTATTTTATGCTTTGATCCAATAACTTAACAGCAAATGTTGCTTACTGTTCCCATGGAAGCCTATTTCTAATGAAAGGAAACTTTGCTATAAAATGTCTGGTGTATTCATTTGGCTTCTATGTTATGTTATAACGTCCCTTCTTTGCTGGCTACGTTGCACGGTGCATAATAAAACATGACACAACATGACTGCAAAGGACTGATGACTTAAGACAAAACCTTCCATGCTACCTAGTAGTCTAGTGGCAGCAATGTGCTGCCACACACGAATCGGAGTTCAAACTCAGAGCTTGGAATTTTGCTTCTGGGCTAGCAGGTACTAAGATTGCCACCAAGGCTGAACCCCAGAGGGGAGAGATGGATTGCCTCTCTGGTCACTCTGCAGTGAACCCATCTCCCTTCCCCCACCTGTAAAAGAAGCACTAGAAGGACTTGTATTAATTCCTTATTTCTGGGCTTCAAAGCAGGTGAACTGTGATGCAGTGAACACTAAAAAGGTAATAAGTGGGTAATATTTGGGCCAGGTACAGACATTACACTATTACTGATATAAGTGATCAGAAGCCAGTCTATACCCGTAACAGAACAGAGGTTCAGTGCACATAGACTTTTTTAAAAATGGCAGAACCTAGTCTAAGGTTTGTCCTTCCAACAAAGAGCAAATGTGTGTTCTGTTCACACCAATCTAAACTGTACCACTTAAACAAAACCATGTAACTTGGATTGATTATTTTTTCTTTTTTTTTTTCCTCAGCTTTTTGAATACCTATACTTACCCTTGGAGTTCTGATATTTACCTAGTCTCCCCTCTTTCATATTATAGGCAAAAAAGTAAAGCATTGAGAACTAGTACTGTGCCTGGTCTAATTTAAATGGTGGACTAGTTAGGAGCAATAAAAGAGCCAAGGAGGAGTAAGCAGTGTAGGTAATTACTCTTATGGCTGCTTACAAAGATGCAATTAATAGGTCAGGTGAATATCTTTTAAAATCTTGGCATTTACTGCTTGCTGTAGATAAATTTACAGCAGCACTTGTTCTATTTTCCATTCTAAACATAGGAATAGTATGACACAAGCGCATTCCACAGTGCAATAAAGATTTTAACAGCTACCTATTGTTATGTGCTGCGGAGAAGAAAGCTGACATAAACCTTCACACATGAGTTCAAAGAGAGGTGATATACAGAGCTGCTGGGATGTGGTCCCTGACCCTCCCCAGAATTGTATGTCTTGGCCTGGTAAGGACAGTTGTTGGTGAGTAGCCCTCAGCTCTGGATCTAACCTCTTTGGCAGATCCTGAGTTTGGTGACCCTATGATGAAGAACAGTGTAAGCTCCCTAGGCTGAGCTGGGTGGCGGGGTTGCATTCCTTTGAGTTCATATTTTGATAACTTATTTGTGTTTTAGTCTATACTGTCTTTTGATGTACACAGGGATAGGGGACAGGGCAGTGCATTTAATGAATACTTATTAATAAGTAGCTTGTTACAACTTCTCTCCTAAAAATGCTTCCGATCCCAGGGAGTCAAGGCTGGGATCTGAACTTTGCCCTGCTGTTCAACCATTATCCTTGGCTTTTTTCCAGTAGGCTATGAGGCTAGTTCTGTAGTAATAATTTTAGAGAAGTGAGTACTAACACTGACCATTGATGGGGCTATTATCTTTAATGTGCAATGATAAAAGTTCTGAACCAGGCAATACTCCTGCTTCTCAAACTGTATCTGACTGTATGTGTGGAGGCATATAAAATATGGCCCAAAGTTCATTGAGATCCAAGTGAAAGATTCCCACTGATTTCAGTGAGATTCAGTAGAAAGATTCATGTCTTGCAAGAATTAAATGTCTTGTGAAAACTACCAGTTTCTTTACTTGTTGCATGAAGCTTAATTGTCTGAAGTAAAAACGTACCAATAAATACAGTATATTTCATCTAGTATCTCTGACCCATGTTCTAATATATAGCCATTAGCTGATATTATATGAAATGTACATGTTAAGAATTTAGATATAAATTTATGTGAACAAAACTACACTGAGCTCTTCAAATTTCTTATTCTTCTTAAGAGGCATTCCCCCAGTGGTCTGAACACAAGATTGGGAATACACCTGAATCCCAGCCCTGACTCTAGCATTGCTTTCCTGATGTCTTTGAACAAGTTATTTAACTACCTTGCTTGGATTTACCCACTTGTAAAATAAAGATAACAGTCCTTTCCTGTTTAGCAATGTCATTCAGAGGGCAGCTGGGTCAATGTTTGCAGACTCTTTTTTTTTTTTTTTTTTTTTTTTTTCTTTTAAAGAGGGGGGGGGAAAAAAAATTTAAGTGTTATATTTAGGTGCCCCTATTCTGAACTCTCCTTCTGGCTGCTCCAACTTGAATAGAATTAAGAAAGTGTGTTTGTTAAAGAAGAAGAGACAATGTTGTCTTGATACAAGCAGATAAGGTAGAAAGAGAAAATTGTTTTAGGAAGGATTATCTAATCATTTCTATCACTCAGAGGATCTCGGAGAAATGCAAACCATTTCAGAGCAATGATCTAGGTTCTCATTTAAGTAGAATACAGAAAAGGAGTAAAAGGTGGAAGGAAGCAGTTTTGGTGCTTTTTGCATGGTTGAATTGGATCGTATTTCTCACTTCATTAATTTTAAAGAATCTATAAAAGTTTTTAACATGTCATTTCAATTTTTTGAAAATCTGTGTAATTTTTTTTTTAAGATGAGCAAAAGGAAGCTGTGCCCAGAAATGACAGGATAAACTTTAAGGTCTTTCAAAAGCCCATACCTGCTAACGATATGATTGATACTCAGACCCTGACTACTAAGCAATAACGACTCTTCAACTTGTCCACTGCAATTCTATTATTTCAGATATTATTAAAGGTTTTTTCCCAGCATGCATTGGGCGTGTCTTTTCTATAGTCATGAATAACACAACACATGCACTATCAGTCCCTACTGATTGTGGAAAAAAATGTTCCACATCTTCATAGGAAAGCAAATAGTTCCTGCCCTATTACAAATTAACCAAATATATACTTTTTATTTAAGTACAAAATAAACACACCCATCATTTTAGTAAACTTTACTTTAGGAAAATTATTATCACTGTTTATTTTTATTGTCATGCCTACAGCAGTGATTCTCAACAAGATGCCTACCATAAAATCCATTTAAGGATGCCATGCAATATTAGAACTGTTAGGTGTATAAATACCTACATTTGATTTATAAGATAAACTTGGAGATTTCGAATAAGAATTCACAATGTCCGCAACTTTCTGACCTGCAGTGGACTTTCTGAGTTCTTTGGAAAAGAAGAATAGCTCTATTTTTCTATAGCCAAAAATTAAATGAAAAGTAACAGCTGGCATTTTCCAAGGGTGCCTTGAGTCTAAAGAAGTGTTGAGAGCCACTGGCCTGGAGCCTCCAATTAAGAATAATATATCCATTGTATTAAGTACAAACATGTGATACAAAGATAGTCCATGTCCCCAAAATCTTACAATCCTAATGAATATCAACAGAATGTCTCTTTAATCAGCAATAAATATGCTAGGTGCTGCAATAATGCAAAGTAATTTCCCATCATATATTCCTTTTCAATGGGAAAGGGGAAAGGAGAATTTTGCAGACAGGCTAGAGATGAAAAAGAGGTCTGAGCACTAACCTGTTAAGTATGTTATTCCACATGGCCAAAGTTAAAAAAACAGACCAACAACAACAAGATTTTTCTGTTTTGTGTTCATTTTATTATCAGAAAATTCACAGAATTAAGTTCCTAATGGCTTATATGAATTTGTCTCCTTTTTACAAATCATTGCAGATGGGATACACTCCACTACATGTTGGCTGCCACTATGGGAACATAAAGATTGTTAATTTCCTTCTGCAACATTCTGCTAAAGTTAACGCCAAAACGAAGGTGAGGTTGTCTTTCTTGTCTTCACTTTGTTTATTTTGTAAGCATTACCAGTCCCCTTTGAACACTGTAAACTCTTCTGTTTTTTTCCATCCTTAACAGAATGGATATACACCCCTACACCAGGCAGCTCAACAGGGACACACCCATATCATTAATGTCTTACTCCAGCATGGTGCTTCGCCCAATGAACTCACTGTGGTAAGAGGCAAGAGAAGATGTATCGTTGGCGGCTTATTTCTTAGCGTGTTAATATTTTCCCTTCCATAAAAAATGCAGTGCCACTACTCTATCCCAGCAACAGAAATATAGAAAATTGCAGAAAAATGGCAGTAGAATAGTACAGCACTGTTTTCAGGTATGCTATGATGCTCCATATCACATTTTCATAAATTTTCCTGAAATAGGAAATAGCTGAAATGAAAGAATATGGTCCTTGGGTCCTCTTTGCCATCACTATAAATCAGCTGTGGGCAGCTTACAGTCTGCATGCTATGTCCAGCCCAAAACTTCAGCAGTGTTTGGTGATAGAGGACTTTGACCATCCTGAAGCCAGGGAACTGGGGCTTTGGTTATGCCAGATTGCAGCCAGTCAAAAGTACCAGTGATGGGGTCTAGCTCCTACTACCTGCCCACCTTGGACTCAAGCTAGGTCATTCTGGGCCAGTACTGGAAAAAGTCTGTTAACAACTGTAAATTGTTAAACTCCCAATTATACATGTCCTTCTGTCTAAAATCTTTTTCATTCTTTGAATTATAAACATTTTCTTTGGCTTTTGTTACACATCTTTATCAAGCTTATTTTTGTTTCTATAGTCAAGCATTGCTCATACTAATCCATTTTATATAAATGTTTAACTTCTTAGAATGGGAACACTGCCCTTGCCATTGCTAAACGGCTTGGCTACATTTCAGTTGTTGACACACTGAAGGTGGTGACTGAAGAGACTATGACTACGATTGTAAGTATAGTACATTTCAATATTGAATTTAAAGATCTTTCTTAATCCAAATTCCACAAACATATGGAATTCAGCTTTGTTTGTTTAGGGAAACAACTGAGATTGCTACCTTGAATTCTGTGGGTCACCTTACATACTTTCAGAAGTACAGTTGTATCAAGTTAAATATGAAAAAGTAAAATGTAATGAAAAGTGTGAAAAAATAGCATTAAAATTCAGAGATTACCAACCAAACTGAAAGTAGACACTGTAAATAACTAGAGCCTTAATACTATTCTGCCTATCCTAATCCTACTGGAAGATCAAGGTACAGGTGAACTAACTTTCCCTGTTATTTCCTAGGAAATGACTTTTTTGCTTTTGTAAACATATGGGAAGCCATCTTAGAATCCCTTTTGTCCAGTGGCTGAAAACCTCCAGTGAAGTATGCTGTACTCTCATTTGATAATGGTTTCAGAAAAGGAGAATAACAGACTCCAAAGAACTGTAAGCAAGTGACTGTGGGATACAAGTTGAAGGGTAAAAGGAATCCAGGAGTTAGTTTTTCCTTAAAGAAACAATGTAGGGAAAGGATTGGAAATGTTGTCAGACCTGCTTAACTAAAGAATGAGTTCTTCAATATTTAAAACCTTTTTTAGGCTTTAAATACATAAAATCTGAGAAATCCTTAGTAACACTGACCTCTTTTCAGGTTAAGTAGAATAGTATTGTTTGAATGTATAGGGGCAAAATTGAAAAGGCCAAAGTTCATATATAGACAGCAAGAGGCAAAAAAGTGAAAAAATAAGTCTAGAGATATATTAGAAGTAAGGTAATGATCAACAGAAGTTCAAGTCCATTACTGAAAAGGGAGGGGAAGGTAATAAAATAGACAATATGGAGAAAGCTCAATTGTTTTTTACTTCAGGGAAAAAAAGGTCACTTGTCAGATGACTAGCACAATTGTCATCAGGCCCAGGGACTAGGCACTCAGTTGAGAGCAAGGGGGGAAAAAAGTTAGGAATGACTTAGATAAAGCAGATGTTTTGAGATGAGCAGGGATCCTCATCTTCTGTTTCCCATGGAAAAAATAGAGAGAACCATGGATTCCCCCCCCTTTTTTTTATCAGAGAAAATGTGGATTTCTCCTTTTACCAGAAAAACCCACAGATTCCCTGCTTTTGCAAAGAGCTCTGCAGGATGGTTGAGCTCCAGCCTGCAAGAGCTGTTTGCAAGCAGGGCAGGAACCCCCTAGCACTGCCAGGAGGGGAAGGGAGAGGGGGAAGGGCAGGGCCTGAAGCTCTGTCAGCCACAGCTCTGCTCAGCTCAGCTTCACTCTTTGCTCCTGGAGCCTGAGGTTAGTGGGGCTGGCAGGGGGTTGGGGGCCCCTCTAGCAGGGCTGGGGAGTTGAGTCATGGGTGGGGGGCCAGCAGCAGGGCTGGGGGGGCAGGAGCTGGCCCCACCCCCACCCAAGCAGGCAGAGCAGTGGGAGAGCTGGCTCCATGCTGCTTCTGCTGCAGCTGTCAGGAGCAGGGAGCTGAAGAGTTAGGTCCCTGGCCCCATATCCCTGGCAACTGGGGGCTCCTTCCAGAGATTGTGGGTGGGGGCAAGAGGCATGAGTAGGGCAGAGTGCTGTTGTGGAGTCAGTGAGGGGCACCAGCAGGTTAGGAGGACTTTGGAGGCAAGTGACAGGCACCAACAGAGCTGGGGGGCTGTTGGAGGGTGAGTGAGGGGCACCAGTAGGGTTAGGGGGCCTGAAGGGGGCTTTTAATTTCCAAAATGGATTTTGGGGGGTTTATCAGAGAATTTGCTATTTTTTGTCAGTGAAGTTGTGATCTGATATTTTTTTTTTTATTAGAGAAAACCAGGATTCTTGCTGATTTAAGATTCATCCCTGAGCACTCAAATTGGCTGAAGTATTTGCAAAGCCATTGGCTCTTATCTTTGAGAGTTCCTTGTATCACCTAGTAGATATGATGATAAATAAGAGCTTGGATAGATTTGTCAAGAGGAATTCATGTAGAAGGCAGGGTAAATTTGCATTTATGGGCCAAGTATGTTCAACTCGCAGCCTGAAAGCTAGAACTAGCCCTGGCACCATGTTATGAGACTCACAGTGCTCTTCATGGATCCATTGGGAACCGTGTGGGCTGTGGCCCTGCAGAATGGCATAGGGCTCAATCCTGGCAAGTGAGGGAGTTGTACGACCCAGTCCCAGCAAGCAGTTTGATCTAGCCCATGGACCATCCCCATAGTACTCATCTGGACTGGTATCCAAAAGTTTGAGTACCCCTGTTTATAGATTAACCAAAGTTGTGTGTGTGGCACAAGCTTCCTGGGCTGAAGCTTACTTCATCAGATGTTGTGAAAGGAGTTCTACATAAGGAGAGAGAAATTAAAATACAAAAGGCAGAAGGGAGGGAGGAAGTCAGGTGGAGGAAGCAATGCTGAAAGAGGCAAACAATAAACCCATAGGAACAAAGAAGTCACAAAAAGTAACCCAGGCTAAGTACAGATAGTCAAAAAGCCTGGGATGGAATTATCCAATCTATGCAAGTTTCTCTAAACTGCCTAGAGTGGACCATTAACAAACAGAACTCACATTCACTCTTTCATTGACCAAGGCAGGCAGTTGCCTGCACTGGCCAAGGCCAGAAGGTGGGGATGCTCCTGCACATCTCCCACCTCTGCTGGGCAGCGAATGCCCTTGCTAGCCTTGGGGGATGGGTGGGGAGAAAACGGACCCCCCCATCTGGGCCTCCAAGCTGGGGTCTGTACCCCAGGAAGCCCCTGGGGCAGGGGCTTTCCCTCCATACATCTTGGCTTCATGAATGCCCCAATCCTGTGCCCCTCTCCAGCCACCCCCTGAGAGGCAGAGCCTGAGTTGCAGTGTTCACTGCCTGGCAGAGCAAGGCTGCGGGGGGGAATTCTCCCCCTCAGAGGCTTCCCTGCCCCCCACCCCAACCTTCCACTGTGCAGACCCTGGCTGGAAGGGGGGTGGGGGCGAGGGTTGGGGCTGGAGCAGGATTCTGTTCCCTCCCTTACCACCTGGCTTGGCTGGAGCAGAGGAGCTGGGGTACAAGCAAGCCTGTCCTGCAACAAAAAGTTAGCAGACCACCACAGTACATCCTAGGATGCCAACTTAACTTGTGTTGGGAAGGGATCTGAAACAAAAGTTCTACAGACTGGTCTAACCTAAAGTGATTCAATTTGATATTACATCCACCCAGGTCTATCTTTATCTGGATTCCATCATTTTGAAACCATTGGTTTCCATTCACTTGAGGCATTTGTAGATGTGCTCTGGGAGGTGAGGGAGAGGGGAAGACGCTTTAATTAGAGTGGCTCTGTGGGCTGCTTTAATTAATTATCTCCATGCTGAAAAATGGCAGTGGGGGTGCTTTAATTAAAGCTCGTTGAACCAGGTTTAGTTTAAAGTGCCCCTGCTGCCATTTTTCAGTGCAGGGATCCTGATACACAGGATGCTGGAGTCTGCTGGAGTACAGTAATTATCACGCTCCAGCAGACTCAATGAATTGTAATTACAATGCATCAGAGCAGCCTCTCTGCATTTGTATAGGCACCCTTATACTGGTTTGTATGTAACTTCTGTCCCTAGCCCCAGGTAATGGGATAAGAATCTGTAGCCCCTGTTTAAACCATATTTATCAGAATCCAGTCTATGGATGATTTCTTGTTCATCAGTTTCCTGTTCAAATCAGATTTTAAATGTTTGCTGCGAGCAGACATCCTTAGGTTAGCAACAGTGTATCCAGAGAGGTTAAAGCAGGCCTATAGGTTTTTCTAAAGCTGATATTAGATCAGTGTTCATTCATTCTTTGGGATAGGGATGTAGACAGCAGAGGAGTTGTGACACAGAGCTTGGCTATAGATGATGGATCTGGGTGTGTATAGGATGAAACCTGGTAGGGTGAAGGTAGCTGTGGCAGTCATTTTGTTTTTGCTACACTGTGGTGATGATGTGGCCATTGCAAACCTTCAATGTAATGTCTAAGAAATGAACTTGCTAGGTGGAATATTCCAGAATTAGTTTGATGGAAGGATAGAAGTTGTTAAAGTTTTTTGGTGAAATTTCTCTCGAGATTCTTTCCCATGTGTTCATACAATGAAGATGTCATCTATGTACCCCAGGTAAATTACAGGGATGGGAAGATAACAGCAGAGGAAATGGACTTCAAGGTCTGTTCTCATTAAGAAACTGGGGGACTGGTGTTGACACCCACACAGTCAATTGGGTTACTAACTGGCTGGAGGGCCTCACCCAGAGTGGTGGTGGATGGGTCATTTTCAGCCTGGAGGGATGTGGGCAGTGGGGTTCCGCAGAGCTCCATCCTCAGGCCTGCACTGTTCAATATCTTCATCAGTGACTTGGACAAGGGGGTAAAAAGCACCCTGTTCAAACTTGCTGATGACACTAAGATGTGGGGGGATGTGGGCACTCTAGAAGGGAGCAATAGTCTACAATTGGACCTAGACAGGCTACAAGGGTGGGTGGATGAGAACAGGATGGGATTCAACACTGACGAGTGCAAAGTGATGCACCTGGGGAGGAACAACCGGCACCATACCTACAGGTTGGGGAACTCCCTTCTTGTCAGTACAGAGGCAGAAAAGGATCTTGGAGTTGTTCATCTTGGAGTCAATGACATGGGCCAGCAGTGTGGGGATGCAGTCAGGAAGGCCAACTGTACCTTGTCGTGCATCCACAGATGCATCTCGAGCAGGTCCAAGGAGGTGATCCTCCCCCTCTATGCGGCACTGGTCAGGCCGCAGCTGGAGTACTGCGTCCAGTTCTGGGCGCCGCACTTTAAGAGGGATGTGGACAACATGGAGAGGGTCCAGAGGTGGGCCACTCATATGATCAGGGAGCAGCAGGGCAGGCCTTATGAGGAGAGGCTACGGGACCTGAACCTGTTCAGCCTCCACAAGAGAAGGCTGAGGGGGGATCTAGTGGCCTGTTACAAACTAGTCAGGGGGGATCAGCAGGCACTGGGGAAGTC